GTACATTATTCAGTTGTGGGATTTCAAAACTAAGTCCAGTTACAAAGTCCCAATTAAAGTGCTAAAATTAAAATCTGAGTTTCAAAACTGATAAAAAGAGAGAGAGATTTAAACCTATTTTCTCTATGTAGCTCAGTAGAGTTTCAGTTTATTTAAGACATAAGTAATAATTGGGAGTTGTTTATGCTTTTGCCGGCAGAATTATCTATAGAAAAGATCGAATATATGAGAACGAAGTTTGAACAGCTGCTAAGAGTACATTTTTCTCCTGGAGTGTTGCAACTCGTTATGCTTACATGTATTTAATGCAACATCCCAACATGCCTGAGGGATGAAAAAAAATGGTAGGGATTTAGCTGTTACAACTCTATGTGCAAGTCTTACAAAAAACTCCTCAATAGTCAAGACAGCCCAGATAAATGAGACATTTCACAACAGGCCTTGCACCTTGTTGCTCCTGTAGCATTTGACCCCACTGGCTGGCTCAGGGTGTTCAAGGTGTGTCCTGGGAAATGCAGACAAGTCAGGGCAGCACAAATCACCACTGCATGGGACAAGACATGCATGCGTTGGAGAAAAGTGGTACTTTGCTGTTTGATAGAATTTAGAGCATTTGACATTATATCAGGAAAAAAACCCACTAGCACTCCTGAAAGAGCAAAAGATCCCCATTTCAAATGGATTATTCCTTGTAGCCTTTTTTTCTTTGAATATTCACCCTGCAAGCTGACAACAGACATCCAGAAGTCTTCCAACTCTCTAGACTGGTCTGCAAGTTTTAAACAGCTTTAAATGTAAATTATGGATTAACTGGCAGGAACACAACCAGCAGCCATCTGAAGATGTGGACAATAAAAGGATTAAATAAATTCTAGAGCAGAGTTCTTCAGGTCTGGAAAAAAAGCCAACCTTCGAGACTGAACATTAAGGGATGGACAGATGTTAAAGCTGATCATGTCAGTGATCTGTGACCAGGTTAGTTGACAGCTATGGTCAAATCACTTGGAAAGGCAGAGGACAACGGGATTATCCTGTCAAGGCAGAGGGGCAGACAATTTATTGCCTGCAGCATATCGGAAGTGAAACGGATTATGACATGACATTGAAAAACAAGACAAAATCTCCACATCAGAGTCATGTCTTCCAGTTCATCACTCCCAAAGCTCATCTTTAGGAAGTGTTTTTCCACTCTCCTTTGAGGGCTGGGATGTTGACAGTGGCATGTAACATTACAGTTTTTTGACTTCAAAATAGCACCCTAATAACATGATAGAAAAGACAAAATTAGAGTGCAACTACGTAGTTCTTCCTATTCTCCTCCTGTCTTTCTGCATCTCTACTCACTGATGCAGTCCTTCTAATCACTTTAATATCTCCTGAACCTAGTGATGCGCAACCACCTCATTTCAAAGGGACCTTGTTCCCATTCCTGGAAGGTTGGGGCACAGTTAAATCACGCCAGGGAGCTCACCCAGGGAGCAGGGGGCTCTGCAATCCCAACCTCATTCCCGGTACAGCCGCACACACAACCGTCCTGGCACGGGGTACAGCACAGCCCGCGCAGCCCGTCTGCTGACCGTGAAGCCGCCACCCCAGCAGCTGGGACTTCCATTTGCATCGGAGTTGGGCACGGGACCAATTTGCTAATGCATATCAGAAGGTTCTTTCCAAATTATGAAGTCTAGCGTACTGTATGTGGAGGATCCTCATGCTTGCTTAAACAGCTTGAGCAGTAACAGATGAATATTGAATCTGGAGACATCCTGTTGCACTGTGGTAACATAAGAATATTTATTCCTACTCATTTAACAGCAAGTCACATGTGAAAGATTTTCCAAATTTCACCAGTTTCTCCTTTTCGAGCATAAGCTTTCATCATCATCTCTATGCATACCAATGGGACACTGCTTATTTTTTAGCAAGAGTATGATACAATTCGGTAGATCTACTGAACCTGGCTGTGCTTCCAAGATTAGGCCCTTAAAACACATGATTGTTGACAACACGATCGCCCAGTGCAAGCCCCCAGTACAAAGCTATGAAAAAACGCAAAATACTTTACCCGTTATCAAAGTTCTATCCCAAAAGAGCTATTTAATTCCACTCTTTGAGCAATTAAAATCTGGCTGCCGCTTACGATGCTGCTATTAGCCTTAACCTCATATTGACCAAAAGAACTTTCATATCAGTTAACACTCATGATAAATATCCATAAATCCTTCAGTGCAACTCTGCCAAGATCAGCCTTTGTCCAAGCAAAGGTCTGGAACCAAGAATAAATGATTACAAAAAACCCTGGCAGACTACCAGGAAGTAGCACTCTGCCATTCCTGCCCCATAAGGTGGTCACTACACCACAGAACTAATAAAGCTGTTTTTCCTTTTGCAAGGGGCAAAATAGTGACAAATCAGCACCTTTGAGGATGTTAAAGCAAACCAAGATGTATCTCATCACACATGCTACTTGCTTCTGCTTTGGAGAGCCAAGAAATAAAAATACTTGAGGTAAGTGAAAACTAAACCACAATGACTTCCTCCTTATGCTCATAAAAGAGTACATGTGCCCATCTTGATAAACCCCACACAGCAGAATCCCTCTCTCACAGAATCCCTGTGCTCAGCAGATGCACAGGGAAGCAAAAGAAAGATATCAGCTTCATGGGCTATTTAAGCACAGAGAAAATGCACATCCCGCCACCCGCACTGGAAGGATGCAATTCCTGAAAACTCCAAGATATACCTGGATATGAATCTGGCTGGTGTCCTCCCTACTCACCACTGAAAGATCTGCTGCTCCCTGCAAGGAGTTCCTGGCTGGTACAGATTTCATCCATGAAATTCTTTGCCTTCTGCATCTACATATACTTTCAGTGTATTTACTCTGCCAAAACACTGCCCCTCTGATGAAGGGCCACAGTTCATTCTTTCCCCTAACTGCACAGATTAGCAATGCACAAGCTAACTGCTGAGTGTCAAAGAACCTTGTTAACAGACCTTGGCTCTGAGTTTTTTTGTTGTTGTTTTGGGTTTTTTTTTTTTTGTCTTCTGCAATTTAGATCAGCAATACTATGCTCCAGTTACTATGCTCCAGTAAGAGTTAAATCCAACATTTCGTAGCTAACCTAGCTTTGTTGTGGTGTGCACCTAACGCATTCACTCAAGCTGCTAGAAAACACGGTTAGACGGTTCTCACTTTCACCCCCCAGTTTATTCCTAGCTGACCCACACAGTCCAGGCAGAGGGATCTCTCTACTTATCATGAGATTTCAGGAATCACTTTAAAACTACACAAATCTCACATGCAGGTCTCAGTTCATTCCCAGCATTACTGAGCTCATGCATTGCACAAATGCTGGCGCTTAGGCTGAGTGACAACTCAGTCTGGACTGAATACACCCCTCACATGCAGGTCTCAGTTCATTCCCAACATTACTGAGCTCAGGCGTTGCACAAATGCTGGCGCTTAGACTGAGTCTGGACTGAATACACCTGGACTGCCTCCAGATATACACAGCTTT